GGAGCTTGCGGAGAGAGGCTGTGACCCGAGTCCGGTTGGGGATTGTGCGGCTCCAAGGTCCTCTGCAGATACCAAAGCTTTGGCAACAGAATCCAAGTCCCTTGAATTTGACAGAGCCGGGATGCTTCCCTCTGAGCAGCCGGGGCACAGCATCTAAGGCAGCAAGCGGGTGGGGCAGTGCTGCTGCCACTGTCCGGGTGGACTGGCTCCCTGGGCACCGCGCATGCTTTTGCTGTGGCTTGCGCGGCGCGAGCAGGGTCAGGAAGGCAGAGGAGATGAAAGCTCCCTCTGCTCTCCCCAGGCTGTGTGTGAAGCCAGTGCTGCAGCTGGGTGGGAACAACGGGCACAGCGGAACAGTGGGCGCAGAGGAGCCCATCCTGTGGGTGCCCCGTGCGTGTCTGGAGGACTTGTGCTGCACTCTCTGCCAAGATGGGCTTCTCGAGTTGCTGCCTTTCAGGTGTCTTCCACCACCCCCAAGGCCTTCTCCAAGAGGGAAAGCACTGGACGTGGGCTTTGGGTTTCGGCCTTGCGCTCCGGCCGCACCAGAGCGGTTTGTCCCTCACCAGTGCGGGTGGGCAATCCCTGCCTCCCAAGCTATGCGGGCCGGGGAGATCCTTGTAGAATTACCACGCAAATAGTCGTGTGTGATCGTCTCTTTCTTTTATTTCTGCTCTGGGCGCAGTAGATCCCGAGCAGCTGCGCCGTGTCTGCACCTGAGAACGTTCCCCGTGCAGTTGCTGCTCTGCTGCTGCCTTCGGTCTCAAGGCTCCACGGGCTGTTCTGAGCCTGACGGCTTGTCCTGCTGCCCCAGGAGTGCTGGAGCAGCCGCCTTGAGAGGGCCTTTGACAGCAGCAGGACGCCACGTGCCTCAGGACTGAGGCACCTTGTGGGCGATGCCCTGCTGGCTGAACGCTTGAAGGTCCAGCCAGAAGGACCGGGACCTTTCTCTCACACTAGTCCAGGTTTCTCCCTTTCCTAGGTGCTTTCCCCTGGGCCTTTGCACACTGTTCCGTTCTGTCTTTCTGGTGCACACCGCCCAAGGTCATGTCCAGCTTAGAAACTGGGCGAGGGAGCTGGAAGGGGGGCCCACCTGGGTTCCGCAAGGGGGGTGTGGCATGGCTCAGCTGTGGGGGAGCCGCTCTATTGGGCACCACTTGTCTGGGCTTTTTCCAAGTAGAGTTACTGAACTCTACTGTAACTCTACTGTTACTGTAACTCTACTGTAGAGTTACAGTAGAGTTACTGAACTCTACTTGGCTTTTTGCTGGAAACCTTTCTAAAAGTTTTGGGGTTGAGTTTTTTAAAACTAAATTGTTAGTCCTAAACTTATCTATTTTTCACTTATAATTATTAAACTTAACTAAAGTTATACTTAAAGCTATTATGGAACTAGGGTGGCGGGGAAGGGAAGGGGCTTGAGGGGGTGGCTGCTGGGGCTTCATTTCCAGCTGGGATTAAAGCAGGACTGGGGACATGGGGAGCTGGAGGTTAACCTTATCTAACTTTCCATTTAGAGTTTTATAAAACTAAATTCTTATTAAACTGATCTATTGTTAAACTAGCTATTATTCTTATGATATTTCTACTTAGGAACTAAACTTACTTAACTGACTTATTAAACTTAATCCTAAACCTATTCTAGAGGGTAGTCCTAAAGTTAATCTTTGTCAACTTCTGTTGACCAAGTTGGAATTTGGATTCTCGTCCCCATTCCACCAGGGTGGCGGGGAACGGAAGGCAGTTGAGGGAGTGGCTGCTGGTGCTCCATTTGCAGCTGGGCTTAAGGCAGAGCAGGGCACATGGGGAGTTGGGAGTAGACAGAGCCAGGACTGCTGCTCTTCAGTCCAGTCAGCACAAGGGTCTGTTGTGCCGTGCCGACTGGGTGCGCTCCCAAGTCGCCGCGCAGCCCCGGCCCAAAGCAGCCCCCGGGAAAGCTGCGCCTGCCTATTCCAGGACCAGGAAGGTGCCCGGGCGGCCCTGCTGCAGTGCCAAGAGCAGCACAGCGCAGAGCCGCACCTGGCCGGGGCCGGTCAGCAGGAGCCTGCAGGAGCGGGAGGAGGGCAGCAGCCGGAGCTGCCAGTCGTGCCACTGAGGCAAACGCTCCCAGGCCGATTCCACCAGTCTGGGCAGCCAGCCGGCGACCTTCTGCACCTCCAAGTGGGAGTCTGTGCAGAGGGTGCGCACGAGGGGCGAGTGCTGATGGTTGTAGGTGGGGTGGACAAAGCAGAAGATGTTCCCCGCCGTCCTGGAACACGAGCACTCCAGCAGCACACGGATGGAGTGTGGCACGTCCATGGCCTCGGGCAGCTGCAGCCGGAAAGAGTGCCAGGGGGGTGGCCTGAGGAAGAGCACCAGCTGGTAGACGGTGCAGTCCCCCAGCTCACGCCAGGACTCCATGCAGGTGCCCTGCTGCCCAGTGGCCAGGTGCAGCTCTGGCATGAAGGTGTTCTGGGACAGCACTTGGCACACCTCCAGGAGGTCCCGCAGCAGCTTCTTCAGGGTCCGGCCCATGAAGGGCAGGTCCTGCAGCGGTGACAGGCTGAGCGCTGCAAAAGGCCCGCCAGCAGCGGCTGCTGCGCTGAGCTCTTCTTGCTCACGGCGCCGGCGAGAGGCCTCCTCCCTTTGCCAGGCCAGCCAGCCCAGCCCAGCTGCTGCAGCCAGCCAGAAGAGCCAGTGCTGCAAGATCCAAAGGAGTGGAACATCTTCCAGGGCCCTCCTCCACTCGACTTCCTCCCACAGCTCCGTCATCTGGTCCTCTAGAAAAATCTGCCGTTTCTTCATCCACTGCACAGCGACCGCATCGCTCTGGGGATCCTGTGTCCGCTTGGGCAGGATGGCCAGCACAGCCAGGAGGAGCACAGTTGCTGAATCCATGGCCTGCAGGAGATGAGAGACAAGTTTCTCCAGCGGCTCGGGGTGGGAGGGAGCACGGGGATCAAGGCTTGAAGGGAACGCAGCCCCTGGCTGCAGACGGCACAGGGCCCACCCTGCCCCAGCCGGGACCCTCCTTGTCAGGCCCTGGCTGGGCTGTGCCCCGGCAAAAGGCAAGAGACAGCCGAGCAGAGTCTCCCCTGGCCCCATCCCTGCCACACCACAGCGTCCCCTGGAGCCGGGGGCAGCCGGCCCATCCCCAAAGGCTCTTTGGGCACTTGCCAACACAGAGAGCCCTGAGCACCTGTGTGCCAGGCCCCAGGGGCACAACTCGGCCCTGCCGGGAGGGACTCAGCTTTGGCTCAGGGTTACAACCACCCCCCCTGGGCATCTTCCCCCTCCCCCATCCATCCCAGCCTTCCCCCTGCATCTGCACTCACTGATCGCCCAAGTCCAACTGCCCTGGGGCTGCCTGCTGTGCTCCTTAGGGACAGCTCCCATTGTGACCTGTCCGCTGTGATGTCACAGCCACCAGAGACACATCAGCCGGCCCACAAGCCCCGCCCTTCATCCCCACCCCCCTGCTCAGGGCCTTCTGGGCATCCTCTCTAACACTCAGTGCCAAGTCCTCCTCGGGAGATCCCGGGGGGTCTCTTGGCCAAACGGACAAAGCCCCAGAGCCACCACAGAGAGCCCCGAGCCCCCCGAGACGGCCCCACTGGCACAACTGCGCCTGGCCCCACGGGGCTTCCGTCTCTTGCTTTGGCTTACAAAGTCCCCTGGCCATTTGCCCATTCTCCCATCCAGCCCAGCCCAGCCCAGCTCAGCCCAGCTGTGGAAGTGAGCAAGGAGCTGCAACCATCACAGACCAAAGATTTCCCTGGCTGGCAGAATCAGAAGGGGACTGTGAGTTGGAAAGGAGCCTTGAGATGGCACTAAGCTTGGCTTAGCTTGAGCCTGGTCTTCTGGAGGCTAAAGTTTGGCGTGTGCCTCGGCAATAGCAAATAAACCTCGCCAATGGGCAGAGACTCGGACTTGCCTGTTCTCTTTATTCCTAAGGCCGAGCGGCCTTGCAGAAGGAAAGGCTTTGCGTAAGACAGAAGACAGTGCCTCAGGGATACTGTGGGCTGTGGAGATGGGAGGTGCAGCTCTAGCTTGAGCTCCCAGGCGGAAGTTTACCTGTCACCTCGAGAGCTCACTTGCAGACCCTGAAAGTCCTGACGGGACAGAGCAGGCCTACAGCAGGCCTTCCTCTGCTCCACCTGGTTGGCTTTGAATTGCTCCGGCCGGGTGGACGGTAGAGCTCCTAGACAAACGTCATGGCTTTCCCAGGCCTGCCACAGAGGTGGGCTTAGGAGAAGTTTCTGGTTTTGCTGATTGGTTTTGCTTAGCAAGAACAAGCTCCCACAGAGAGACACGGGCAAGAGACTCTGCATGGATCAGCCCGGCGAGAACAATATTGCCAGCGCCTCCAGACAGACACGGGAGCTTGCGGAGAGAGGCTGTGACCCGAGTCCGGTTGGGGATTGTGCGGCTCCAAGGTCCTCTGCAGATACCAAAGCTTTGGCAACAGAATCCAAGTCCCTTGAATTTGACAGAGCCGGGATGCTTCCCTCTGAGCAGCCGGGGCACAGCATCTAAGGCAGCAAGCGGGTGGGGCAGTGCTGCTGCCACTGTCCGGGTGGACTGGCTCCCTGGGCACCGCGCATGCTTTTGCTGTGGCTTGCGCGGCGCGAGCAGGGTCAGGAAGGCAGAGGAGATGAAAGCTCCCTCTGCTCTCCCCAGGCTGTGTGTGAAGCCAGTGCTGCAGCTGGGTGGGAACAACGGGCACAGCGGAACAGTGGGCGCAGAGGAGCCCATCCTGTGGGTGCCCCGTGCGTGTCTGGAGGACTTGTGCTGCACTCTCTGCCAAGATGGGCTTCTCGAGTTGCTGCCTTTCAGGTGTCTTCCACCACCCCCAAGGCCTTCTCCAAGAGGGAAAGCACTGGACGTGGGCTTTGGGTTTCGGCCTTGCGCTCCGGCCGCACCAGAGCGGTTTGTCCCTCACCAGTGCGGGTGGGCAATCCCTGCCTCCCAAGCTATGCGGGCCGGGGAGATCCTTGTAGAATTACCACGCAAATAGTCGTGTGTGATCGTCTCTTTCTTTTATTTCTGCTCTGGGCGCAGTAGATCCCGAGCAGCTGCGCCGTGTCTGCACCTGAGAACGTTCCCCGTGCAGTTGCTGCTCTGCTGCTGCCTTCGGTCTCAAGGCTCCACGGGCTGTTCTGAGCCTGACGGCTTGTCCTGCTGCCCCAGGAGTGCTGGAGCAGCCGCCTTGAGAGGGCCTTTGACAGCAGCAGGACGCCACGTGCCTCAGGACTGAGGCACCTTGTGGGCGATGCCCTGCTGGCTGAACGCTTGAAGGTCCAGCCAGAAGGACCGGGACCTTTCTCTCACACTAGTCCAGGTTTCTCCCTTTCCTAGGTGCTTTCCCCTGGGCCTTTGCACACTGTTCCGTTCTGTCTTTCTGGTGCACACCGCCCAAGGTCATGTCCAGCTTAGAAACTGGGCGAGGGAGCTGGAAGGGGGGCCCACCTGGGTTCCGCAAGGGGGGTGTGGCATGGCTCAGCTGTGGGGGAGCCGCTCTATTGGGCACCACTTGTCTGGGCTTTTTCCAAGTAGAGTTACTGAACTCTACTGTAACTCTACTGTTACTGTAACTCTACTGTAGAGTTACAGTAGAGTTACTGAACTCTACTTGGCTTTTTGCTGGAAACCTTTCTAAAAGTTTTGGGGTTGAGTTTTTTAAAACTAAATTGTTAGTCCTAAACTTATCTATTTTTCACTTATAATTATTAAACTTAACTAAAGTTATACTTAAAGCTATTATGGAACTAGGGTGGCGGGGAAGGGAAGGGGCTTGAGGGGGTGGCTGCTGGGGCTTCATTTCCAGCTGGGATTAAAGCAGGACTGGGGACATGGGGAGCTGGAGGTTAACCTTATCTAACTTTCCATTTAGAGTTTTATAAAACTAAATTCTTATTAAACTGATCTATTGTTAAACTAGCTATTATTCTTATTATTCTTATTATTATACTTAGGAACTAAACTTACTTAACTGACTTATTAAACTTAATCCTAAACCTATTCTAGAGGGTAGTCCTAAAGTTAATCTTTGTCAACTTCTGTTGACAAAGTTGGAATTTGGATTCTCGTCCCCATTCCACCAGGGTGGCGGGGAACGGAAGGCAGTTGAGGGAGTGGCTGCTGGTGCTCCATTTGCAGCTGGGCTTAAGGCAGAGCAGGGCACATGGGGAGTTGGGAGTAGACAGAGCCAGGACTGCTGCTCTTCAGTCCAGTCAGCACAAGGGTCTGTTGTGCCGTGCCGACTGGGTGCGCTCCCAAGTCGCCGCGCAGCCCCGGCCCAAAGCAGCCCCCGGGAAAGCTGCGCCTGCCTATTCCAGGACCAGGAAGGTGCCCGGGCGGCCCTGCTGCAGTGCCAAGAGCAGCACAGCGCAGAGCCGCACCTGGCCGGGGCCGGTCAGCAGGAGCCTGCAGGAGCGGGAGGAGGGCAGCAGCCGGAGCTGCCAGTCGTGCCACTGAGGCAAACGCTCCCAGGCCGATTCCACCAGTCTGGGCAGCCAGCCGGCGACCTTCTGCACCTCCAAGTGGGAGTCTGTGCAGAGGGTGCGCACGAGGGGCGAGTGCTGATGGCTGTAGGTGGGGTGGACAAAGCAGAAGATGTTCCCCGCCGTCCTGGAACACGAGCACTCCAGCAGCACACGGATGGAGTGTGGCACGTCCATGGCGTCGGGCAGCTGCAGCCGGAAAGAGTGCCAGGGGGGTGGCCTGAGGAAGAGCACCAGCTGGTAGACGGTGCAGTCCCCCAGCTCACGCCAGGACTCCATGCAGGTGCCCTGCTGCCCAGTGGCCAGGTGCAGCTCTGGCATGAAGGTGTTCTGGGACAGCACTTGGCACACCTCCAGGAGGTCCCGCAGCAGCTTCTTCAGGGTCCGGCCCATGAAGGGCAGGTCCTGCAGCGGTGACAGGCTGAGCGCTGCAAAAGGCCCGCCAGCAGCGGCTGCTGCGCTGAGCTCTTCTTGCTCACGGCGCCGGCGAGAGGCCTCCTCCCTTTGCCAGGCCAGCCAGCCCAGCACAGCTGCTGCAGCCAGCCAGAAGAGCCAGTGCTGCAAGATCCAAAGGAGTGGAACATCTTCCAGGGCCCTCCTCCACTCGACTTCCTCCCACAGCTCCGTCATCTGGTCCTCTAGAAAAATCTGCCGTTTCTTCATCCACTGCACAGCGACCGCATCGCTCTGGGGATCCTGTGTCCGCTTGGGCAGGATGGCCAGCACAGCCAGGAGGAGCACAGTTGCTGAATCCATGGCCTGCAGGAGATGAGAGACAAGTTTCTCCAGCGGCTCGGGGTGGGAGGGAGCACGGGGATCAAGGCTTGAAGGGAACGCAGCCCCTGGCTGCAGACGGCACAGGGCCCACCCTGCCCCAGCCGGGACCCTCCTTGTCAGGCCCTGGCTGGGCTGTGCCCCGGCAAAAGGCAAGAGACAGCCGAGCAGAGTCTCCCCTGGCCCCATCCCTGCCACACCACAGCGTCCCCTGGAGCCGGGGGCAGCCGGCCCATCCCCAAAGGCTCTTTGGGCACTTGCCAACACAGAGAGCCCTGAGCACCTGTGTGCCAGGCCCCAGGGGCACAACTCGGCCCTGCCGGGAGGGACTCAGCTTTGGCTCAGGGTTACAACCACCCCCCCTGGGCATCTCCCCCCTCCCCCATCCATCCCAGCCTTCCCCCTGCATCTGCACTCACTGATCGCCCAAGTCCAACTGCCCTGGGGCTGCCTGCTGTGCTCCTTAGGGACAGCTCCCATTGTGACCTGTCCGCTGTGATGTCACAGCCACCAGAGACACATCAGCCGGCCCACAAGCCCCGCCCTTCATCCCCACCCCCCTGCTCAGGGCCTTCTGGGCATCCTCTCTAACACTCAGTGCCAAGTCCTCCTCGGGAGATCCCGGGGGGTCTCTTGGCCAAACGGACAAAGCCCCAGAGCCACCACAGAGAGCCCCGAGCCCCCCCGAGACGGCCCCACTGGCACAACTGCGCCTGGCCCCACGGGGCTTCCGTCTCTTGCTTTGGCTTACAAAGTCCCCTGGCCATTTGCCCCTTCCCCCATCCAGCCCAGCCCAGCCCAGCTCAGCCCAGCTGTGGAAGTGAGGCAGGAGCTGCAACCATCACAGACCAAAGATTTCCCTGGCTGGCAGAATCTGAAGGGGCCTGTGAGTTGCAAAGGAGCCTTGAGATGGCGCTAAGCTTGGCTTAGCTTGAGCCTGGTCTTCTGGTGGCTAAAGTCTGGCGTGTGCCTCGGCAATAGCAAATAAACCTCGCCAATGGGCAGAGACTCGGACTTGCCTGTTCTCTTTATTCCTAAGGCCGAGCGGCCTTGAAGAAGGAAAGGCTTTGCGTAAGACAGAAGACAGTGCCTCAGGGATACTGTGGGCTGTGGAGACGGGAGGTGCAGCTCTAGCTTGAGCTCCCAGGCGGAAGTTTACCTGTCACCTCGAGAGCTCACTTGCAGACCCTGAAAGTCCTGACGGGACAGAGCAGGCCTACAGCAGGTCTTCCTCTGCTCCACCTGGTTGGCTTTGAATTGCTCCGGCCGGGTGGACGGTAGAGCTCCTAGACAAACGTCATGGCTTTCCCAGGCCTGCCACAGAGGTGGGCTTAGGAGAAGTTTCTAGTTTTGCTGATTGGTTTTGCTCAGAAAGAACGAGCTCCCACAGAGAGACAGGGGCAAGAGACTCTGCATGGATCAGCCCGGCGAGAGCAATCTTGCCAGCGCCTCCAGACAGACACGGGAGCTTGCGGAGAGAGGCTGTGACCCGAGTCCGGTTGGGGACTGTGCGGCTCCAAGGTCCTCTGCAGATACCAAAGCTTTGGCAACAGAATCCAAGTCCCTTGAATTTGACAGAGCTGGGATGCTTCCCTCTGAGCAGCCGGGGCACAGCATCTAAGGCAGCAAGCGGGTGGGGCAGTGCTGCTGCCACTGTCCGGGTGGACTGGCTCCCTGGGCACCGCGCATGCTTTTGCTGTGGCTTGTGCGCCGCGAGCAGAGTCAGGAAGGCAGAGGAGATGAAAGCTCCCTCTGCTCTCCCCAGGCTGTGTGTGAAGCCAGTGCTGCAGCTGGGTGGGAACAACGGGCACAGCGGAACAGTGGGCGCAGAGGAGCCCATCCTGTGGGTGCCCCGTGCGTGTTTGGAGGACTTGTGCTGCACTCTCTGCCAAGATGGGCTTCTCGAGTTACTGCCTTTCAGGTGTCTTCCACCACCCCCAAGGCCTTCTCCAAGAGGGAAAGCACTGGACGTGGGCTTTGGGTTTCGGCCTTGCGCTCCGGCCGCACCAGAGCGGTTTGTCCCTCCCCAGTGCGGGTGGGCAATCCCTGCCTCCCAAGCTATGCGGGCCGGGGAGCTCCTTGTAGAATTACCACGCAAATAGTCGTGTGTGATCGTCTCTTTCTTTTATTTCTGCTCTGGGCGCAGTAGATCCCGAGCAGCTGCGCCGTGTCTGCACCTGCGAACGTTCCCCGTGCAGTTGCTGCTCTGCTGCTGCCTTCGGTCTCAAGGCTCCACGGGCTGTTCTGAGGCATGACGGTTGTAATGAGACCCAGGAGTGGCTGGAGCAGCCGCCTTGAGAGGGCCTTTGACAGCAGCAGGACGCCACGTGCCTCAGGACTGAGGCACCTTGTGGGCGATGCCCTGCTGGCTGAACGCTTGAAGGTCCAGCCAGAAGGACCGGGACCTTTCTCTCACACTAGTCCAGGTTTCTCCCTTTCCTAGGTGCTTTCCCCTGGGCCTTTGCACACTGTTCCGTTCTGTCTTTCTGGTGCACACCGCCCAAGGTCATGTCCAGCTTAGAAACTGGGCGAGGGAGCTGGAAGGGGGGCCCACCTGGGTTCCGCAAGGGGGGTGTGGCATGGCTCAGCTGTGGGGGAGCCGCTCTATTGGGCACCACTTGTCTGGGCTTTTTCCAAGTAGAGTTACTGAACTCTACTGTAACTCTACTGTTAGTGTAAACTCTACTGTTACTGTAACTCTACTGTAGAGTTACAGTAGAGTTACTGAACTCTACTTGGCTTTTTGCTGGAAACCTTTCTAAAAGTTTTGGGGTTGAGTTTTTTAAAACTAAATTGTTAGTCCTAAACTTATCTATTTTTCACTTATAATTATTAAACTTAACTAAAGTTATACTTAAAGCTATTATGGAACTAGGGTGGCGGGGAAGGGAAGGGGCTTGAGGGGGTGGCTGGGGGTTCATTTTTCCAGTTGGGATTCTTAACAGCCGGACTGGGGACAGGGGAAAGCTGGCGGTTCACCTTATCAAATTTCCATGTAGTGTTTTATTAAAACTCCACAATTCTGATTTAACACGATCTATCGTCAACAGTATTTTCTTATTATTGTATTATTATTAATTAGGAACAAACACTTACATGAACTGATTATAACTTAATCCTAAAAACTATTTAGCGGTAGTCCTAAGTTAAATCTTTGTAACACTTTGTGTCAAAGTTGGGATTTGGATTCTGTCCCCATTCACCAGGGTGCGGGTGGGAAACGGACGGCAGTTGAGGGAGTGGATGTGGTTTGCTACTTGCAGCTGGTGCGTAAGGCACAGAAGGGCACATGGGGAGTTGGGAGCGACAGTCCAGAACTGCTGCTCTCTTCTCAGTCCAGTCAGCACAAGGGTCTGTTGTGCCGTGCCGACTGGGTGCGCTCCCAAGTCGCCGCGCAGCCCCGGCCCAAAGCAGCCCCCGGGAAAGCTGCGCCTGCCTATTCCAGGAGCAGGAAGGTGCCCGGGCGGCCCTGCTGCAGTGCCAAGAGCAGCACAGCGCAGAGCTGCACCTGGCCGGGGCCGGTCAGCAGGAGCCTGCAGGAGCGGGAGGAGGGCAGCAGCCGGAGCTGCCAGTCGTGCCACTGAGGCAAACGCTCCCAGGCCGATTCCACCAGTCTGGGCAGCCAGCCGGCGACCTTCTGCACCTCCAAGTGGGAGTCTGTGCAGAGGGTGCGCACGAGGGGCGAGTGCTGGTGGTTGTAGGTGGGGTGGACAAAGCAGAAGATGTTCCCCGCCGTCCTGGAACACGAGCACTCCAGCAGCACACGGATGGAGTGTGGCACGTCCATGGCGTCGGGCAGCTGCAGCCGGAAAGAGTGCCAGGGGGGTGGCCTGAGGAAGAGCAGCAGCTGGTAGACGGTGCAGTCCCCCAGCTCACGCCAGGACTCGATGCAGGTGCCCTGCTGCCCAGTGGCCAGGTGCAGCTCTGGCATGAAGGTGTTCTGGGAGAGCACCTGGCACACCTCCAGGAGGTCCCGCAGCAGCTTCTTCAGGGTCCGGCCCATGAAGGGCAGGTCCTGCAGCGGTGACAGGCTGAGCGCTGCAAAAGGCCCGCCAGCAGCGGCTGCTGCGCTGAGCTCTTCTTGCTCACGGCGCCGGCGAGAGGCCTCCTCCCTTTGCCAGGCCAGCCAGCCCAGCACAGCTGCTGCAGCCAGCCAGAAGAGCCAGTGCTGCAAGATCCAAAGGAGTGGAACATCTTCCAGGGCCCTCCTCCACTCGACTTCCTCCCACAGCTCCGTCATCTTCTGCTCCACAAAAAGCGCACGCTCGGTCATCCGCCGCGCGCTGACCGCATCGCTCTGGGGATCCTGTGTCGTCTTGGGCAGGATGGCCAGCACAGCCAGGAGGAGCAGAGTTGCTGAATCCATGGCCTGCAGGAGATGAGAGACAAGTTTCCCCAGCGGCCCTGGCTGGGCTGTGCCCCGGCAAAAGGCAAGAGACAGCCGAGCAGAGTCTCCCCAGGCCCCATCCCCGCCACACCACAGCGTCCCGTGGAGCCGGGGGCAGCCGGCCCATCCCCAAAGGCTCTTTGGGCACTTGCCAACACAGAGAGCCCTGAGCACCTGTGTGCCAGGCCCCCGGGGCACAACTCGGCCCTGCCGGGAGGGACTCAGCTTTGGCTCAGGGTTACAACCCCCCCTGGGCATCTCCCCCCTCCCCCATCCATCCCAGCCTTCCCCCTGCATCTGCACTCACTGATCGCCCAAGTCCAACTGCCCTGGGGCTGCCTGCTGTGCTCCTTAGGGACAGCTCCCATTGTGACCTGTCCGCTGTGATGTCACAGCCACCAGAGACACATCAGCCGGCCCACAAGCCCCGCCCTTCATCCCCACCCCCCTGCTCAGGGCCTTCTGGGCATCCTCTCTAACACTCAGTGCCAACTCCTCCTCGGGAGATGCCGGGGGGTCTCTTGGCCAAACGGACAAAGCCCCAGAGCCACCACAGAGAGCCCCGAGCCCCCCCGAGACGGCCCCACTGGCACAACTGCGCCTGGCCCCACGGGGCTTCCGTCTCTTGCTTTGGCTTACAAAGTCCCCTGGCCATTTGCCCCTTCCCCCATCCAGCCCAGCCCAGCCCAGCCCAGCCCAGCCCAGCTGTGGAAGTGAGCCAGGAGCTGCAACCATCACAGACCAAAGATTTCCCTGGCTGGCAGAATCTGAAGGGGCCTGTGAGTTGCAAAGGAGCCTTGAGATGGCGCTAAGCTTGGCTTAGCTTGAGCCTGGTCTTCTGGTGGCTAAAGTCTGGCGTGTGCCTCGGCAATAGCAAATAAACCTCGCCAATGGGCAGAGACTCGGACTTGCCTGTTCTCTTTATTCCTAAGGCCGAGCGGCCTTGAAGAAGGAAAGGCTTTGCGTAAGACAGAAGACAGTGCCTCAGGGATACTGTGGGCTGTGGAGACGGGAGGTGCAGCTCTAGCTTGAGCTCCCAGGCGGAAGTTTACCTG